GTCAGAAACGTTCCCGGACCTGAAACGTTAACTCTGTTTTCTCCTCCACAGATGCTGCCAGACCCGCTGAGCTTTTCCCGCAACTTTGTTTTTGTTGCAGTGATAATACCACTAGGCAATTCCATCCCCACCCACATTGTGGAATATATGAAAGGGGTATGTGTAAATCCCAGGCGATCGATCAGTATTTTGCAAATGAACACAGCCGTTTGGCTATTTTGGTGTAAGCTGAATCTCCCTCTCTCCCCACTCCCTTTCGCTATCTTTTAACCACACCCCACCCTCACCCCTTCTCTTTCTATCTCTATCTCTCTCTGTGTCTCTCCCACCCCAAATCTCCCCTCTTCTCCCTTTCCCTGCCTTTCTCCACCACAACCCCTCCCTCCCTGCTCCCGGACATTAACCTTTGTCCCTGTCCCTGCTGCAGGTTGAGATGGTGAACAACCCACTGCTGTATCAGCAGTACAAATTGAAGAAGACCAGCATGGCAGCCACACAGACAGACGTCGAGAAGGTCCTGTTCCATGGGACCTCCGAGGGGAGCACCAGAGAGATCTCCATGCATGGCTTCAACAGGAGCTTCTGTGGGAAGAATGGTAAGGATCAGCCCACGTGTCGGGCTCCTGATCATTTGAGGGGGGAGGTGGTCAGGGGTCACGTCGTCCTGAGGATGGGGGTGTCAGGGGTCACACTGTCAGGGTGGTAGGAGTCATGGTGACCTGAGGACAGGGGAGTCAGGGGTCACGGTATCCTGAGGATGGGGGAGTCAGGGGTCACGGTGTCCTGAGGATGAGGGGTTCAGGGGTCACACTGTCCAGAGGATGAGGGGGTCAGGGGTCACGGTGTCCCTAGGACAAGGTATCAGGAGTCACGGTATCCCGAGGACGGGGTTGGGGGGGGGCAGGTGTCACGGTGTCCCTAGGACAAGGGGTCAGGGGTCACAATGTCCTGAGGACGGTTGGGGGGTGGGGTTGGTTCTACCTGAAACCCAGAGGAGGTGGAGTTTGAGGATGAAAACACTGAGAGGCCCAGTTTGTTTGGTTATTCAGTGCCTCACAGTCTCCATGCTAGAGATCACACAGCGAGTGTGAGAGAATAACCAGGCTGCTGTAGTTCAGGAAACTGGCCCAGCTCCCCCCTTCTCCGGGGCAGTTAGGGAGGGCTCAGTAACATGACCCATGTATCCAGCCTGTCTTTCATGAACCAGAGGAGCTGCTGAACAGCTGGTTTGATGCCATCCCCAGGAGGAAGGGCCTGCCTGTGCTCCCATTCTTCTCTCGGGGGTGTGTATGTGTGTGTGACTGGAAGGGACAGGTATATTCAACTTAGTGCCTGTTGCTTCAGCTGGCTTCGAGAGCCTGCTGTTTTCTCCAGGATTGGCCTGAACATAATCGCGGTCCCACACCGTTCTGTTGAGTCAGGGTGGCTGGTTTTGGGTGTTGTTTACCATATTTCCGAAATCTCTTTAACATGTCGTAGGGGCAGGAGGAGGTCCCTGTGAGCACTGTTCCAGCTCACCCCGTGGCACTGTTGTATCCCTACTCCTCGTTTCCTTCACACTTCCTAAAGGGAATCGGACAAAAGGCAGGGGAATGGCACTAATTAGTGAGCTGCTCATTTGATGGGCTGAATGGCCTCCTGACAGGAAACAGCTCTGAGATCTGCCTTAGCTCCATATCCATTGATACTCTCACCCTGTAAATTTCTTAATCTTTGCCTTGAATATTTCAATTCAGCCAAAATCCACCGTTTTTTCCACGATCTATCCCCTTGTGAAGGCGATGTTCAAATTAAAAGATCCTATCCCCTATTTGAGGTCTGTTCTAGGGGAAACATCTACTTTATTGAATTGTTTTATCAACTGGGAATTCCCAGTTGATATGCGTAGGGAATTCTGATGGTCCTTCCTCTGATCACCAACAGCAGCTCACCCAATATTGTCTCGAGAGCAGTACAACAATCCGACTGTGATGAATAAATTGCCCAGTTACCAAGTGTGTGACTCAGCTGTGTCTCCTGGAATCAGGTCCTTTCCTTCTATTACCACGCATTCATCTCCTTCTCCTCCTTTTTCCTCCTGCCAACACTGTTCCTTTCTCCACCTTCAGATAATCTCACAAACCCCCTATTCTTCAATGCTCCTTGTCTCTGTAACCTTGCCCTCCAACCCCTTGCCTCAGACGTTCCTACAGAAGTGCCTCCTCCGCAGGGCCCAGCGATCTATCTATCTATCTATCTGATCTGGAGTAACTCCCAGCCCCTCATTCCAGCTTCTTCCATCCCCACCCGACTCCTGCCGGGGGACTGGTATTGGCAACGACTTTCCCCATCCCCTCTGGTCACTCCCAGCTCCGACCCATCCAGCCTCATCGCGTGACAGCCAGATTTGGCCTTAAACGAATGGTGCAACATAAGTGCAATGAGTTGTTGTATCGGACCGGACCATTTTCCAGTTGGGTGCCTTTGGCAAGTCGGAAGTGGGGGAAGTGGGTGTAACGTCACTGCAGATGTCAGTAAAATTGCTGAACCGCTCGCGGTTTGATTGTCTTCCAGCAACTGTCTACGGGCAAGGAGTTTACTTTGCAGTCAATGCTGTCATCTCGGTACAGGACCAATATTCACCGCCGAACGCCAAAGGCCATAAATTTGTGTTTGTGGCTAAAGTCCTGACTGGAAGCTACACCAATGGCAAGGCCGAGATGAAGGCGCCGCCTTTGAAAGAGAACAGCAAGATGCCGCTCAGATATGACTCACTCGTTGACAATTGCAAGAACCCCAAAATATTTGTCATCTTCAACGATACCCAGGCATACCCTCAGTATCTGATCACCTGCCGGAACAACTGATACCTTTGGCCAACAGCTCCTCATGAAGGTTCATCTGCTGTGCTCTGCCATGTTCTGGATCGATCCACTGCTGTCTGTACTGATTGAACCTGACTTATCTCGCCCAGGTTGATGGGTAAACTTTATCACAGGCTGGTTATTTGCACACTGACCCTGGCCCAAATTAGGCATTGCGTTGTAGAAAGCTCCTTCGGTCTCTTTAACTCCCCATGCTGCCATTCCAGCTCACTTCAAGCAGCTTCCTGGGATCATCAAAGGTTCCTCACTCCACCCCATCGAAGAAAGAGAAACCCTTTTCATAAAATCCCTACAGTGTGGAAACAGGCCCTTCGGCCCAACCAGTCCACACCGATCCTTACAGCATCCCACCCCCCCATAACCCACCTAATCTACACATCCCTGAACACTACGGGCAATTTAGCATGGCCAATCCACCTAGCCTGCACATCTTTGGACTGTAGGAGGAAACCGGAGCACCCTGAGAAAACCCATGCAGACACGGGGAGAATGTGCAAACTCCACACAGACAGTTGCCTGAGAGTGGAATCGAACCCGGGTCCCTGGCGCTGTGAGGCAACAGCGCTATTACTAGGGTGTAACTCGAAGTCCTTGCTGCCACACGATTACTGTTTCCTGCTGTTGACTGTGTTCTGAGCAAACTGCCTTATTCCCAGTTTTGTGACTTATTTCTTTTTGTGTGTGGGGTGGTGGGGGGCGGGGTTTCTTTATTCTTTCATGGGATGTGGGTGTCTGTGTGGGCCAGCATGTCGTTGTCCCATCCCTAATTGCCCTTGCTGGGTCATTTCAGAGAGGAGTTAAGAGTCACTCAGATTTTGCTGTGGGCCTGGAGCCACATGGGGTCGGGATTGGGTAAAGACGGTGGATTTCCCTCCCTAAAGGACATGATTGAGGCAGATTTACAACAGTCACCATTACTGAAACTAGCTCTCTACTCCAGAAATGTTGACCCAGCCACTAATGCCCACGTCCCGTGGGGAAAAAAAAATAATTTGAACATGCATCCCCGTACCACGAGCAGATTTTCTTTAAGATTTAAGGTTTGGGCAAACCATCTGCTTCTCAAGCGAACACTTCGACTGGCAACTCCAGCTCTGTTACCTCTCTAAAGGCGACCCCTTTCGTAAAATCGGGGTGGGGGCGTGTGTGTGTGTGTGGGGGGGATGTGTCAAAATTGGGACAACTGTCCCACAGGTTGGTCAGTCACCATCCTGACATTGATTCTGCCCCTGGCCACCTGGTCTGGAGGGGGCAGGGAGGTATGATTCTGCCCCTGGGCACCTGGTCTGGAGGGGGCAGGGGGTTACAATTCTGCCCTTGGCCACCTGGTCTGTGGAGGTTCAAGAAAATGGTTGTGCAGCAACAGCTCAAGGGGCAATTAGGGATGGCCAACACAGACAGGCCCTGTCAGGAACACCCATGTCCCAACAATTAGTTATTGTAGGGCTTTGGTGATTGCTGTCCCTGTGTCCGTGTGTAATGTTTGAACGCGTAAGCTGCGAGACGTCGAAACTGTGAACGCTTCCAAAAACGCCTCGGGATCGTCCCTTAAATCCGAGAATGCGGCTTTCGCTCCATAATGTGCTGGAGACTTGGCGTGCAGTATCTCGAAATAGCTTGTTCTTCATTTGTTTAAGGCACCGTAAAGTCTCGCTTTGATTTCTTTTAGAATATAAAATGTAAAATGTTTTCTGAGATATTTGACTCTTGTTGTGGGGAATGAACAGGTAAGACTTAACCTCTCATGTGAAAAGGGCACGTGGCCTTCCTTTGCTGGATGCTGGTGTTAGGGGGTGATGTGCCATGTTTGAGTTGAATGGCTGTGCTGATTGAAGGAAGATCTGCCTACTCCTCCTCCCTATTTCTGAGGAGCCTGGGCCTCAGGTGGGAGTGTAAGGGAGAGGAAAACGGGGTGGCGAAGGGCTAGGCTACTGGTGAGAGGTAGGGAACTACAAGGGAGCAATTTTCAAAGGGAGAAACACATTGAAATCAATAGCACGGCCTGCTTCGGGATCCTGGACTAGAATAGTTCCAGGTGCTCCTTGTGCTCAATTGGCTGAGCTCAGGCAGGTCAGTGCTGCTATTGACCTCCGTGCCTGAGAGTTGGGTGACAGCTGGGTAGATAATAAATGGATGGGCTTCCTTTTGCCTTCCCCACCCATCGACCTCCCACTTCTGCTCATCAGTCGAGAAGAAACAAACATGAGAAAGCTGGGAGGATAGCAGGCAGGCTGAGCCGTGGAGAGCGAATGGCCCGCTGCTGCTCCTGATTGTGACTCTCATACAGTCAGACAGCACGGAAACAGACCCTTCGGTCCAACCAGTCCATGCTGACCATGTTCCCAAACTAAATCATGTACTTGTCCAAACGCCGTTTCGATGTTGTAACCGTAGCTGCCTCCACCACTCCCTCTGGCAGTTCATTCCACATACGAACCACCCCCCTGTGTGGAAAAGTTGCTCCTCACGTCTCTTTTAAATATTTCTCCTCTCACCTTAAAACTATGCCCCTTCGAGGGACACAATGGCCTAGTGGTATTATCCAGAGACCCAGATAATGTTCTGGGGACCTGGGTTCGAATCCCGCCATGGCAGATGGTGGAATTTGAATTCAAGAAAAATCTGGAATTAAGAATCTAATGATGACCATGAATCCATTGTCAATTGTCAGAAAAACCCATCTAGTTCATTAATGTCCTTTAGGGAAGGAAACTGTCTTCTGGTCTGGCCTACATGTGACTCCAGACCCTGAGCAATGTGGTTGAGTCTGAATTGTCCTCTGAGCAATTAGGGATGGGCAATAAATGCTGCCCAGCCAGCAACGCCCTCATCCTGTGAATGAATAAAATTCCCCCACCCTAGGGAAAAGACCTTTGCTATTAATCTTATCTCAGGATTGTAGATTGGAGAATTGATTTTAAGAAGTTTAAATAAGTAAACACATGAACCTGTTGCTGCATTGTGTACATCATGATAGATATCTTCTGACTTAATTAAAGTTTTATCTTTGGACTCCCTAAGGCGGTGTTTCTAATTTTGATTTAATGTTGTGCAGTGATTGGTGGCGGTCTAGCTTCGTTTTAGGTACTTTTGTAATTTGGTTAGTGGGATGCAGAATTGGCTCAGAGTGGCTGGAAGCAGAGAGTGTTGATTGAGGGTGCTTTTATGCTTAGAAGCCAGTGTCCTAGGGGTTCCACTGTTTTTATGTATTTTTGTGTCTGCACAGTGTGTGTTCACTGAGGTGATACAGCAGTGCTCAGCTCGCTTTTCACATGCGATAGGTGCCGCAATTTAATAGTCCGAGGTTTCTTCCTGTTGTGCCTTCAGCTGGTTTGACCCCGTTCCTAGCCATCTCCCACCTGTTCCCCTCTAAGTTGCAGTAGCTCACGTTGAACTGCGTTTGGTCTCGAACCATTCTAAGTGTTCAGGCTGTTTTGTAAGGCACCTCAAAGTTAACAGTTCATGGCCTATTCCCTGGGCCATCGGACAATTTGTCTTTCAGTCTCTGAGGTGGCCTTTCGAAAAGAAAAGTAGGTTTTCAGCTCAGACAAAACTGAAACAAGCCTTAATATTGCCACCAAAAAAGCTACAAAGTCAATTAAAGGTGAGTGTGAACACTGTACCTTTTTTCCTACATCATTCTGCTGCCCTGATGCTGCCTTTGTGACAGTGTGTCCTGGATTTTTTTTCCCATAATCATCAGATTTGATGTAAGTGCCTGAACTGGATCCTCTCAGCATTCGGCCCTTAATGCTGTCCTCCAACCAAGCTCGATCTAGACACACGCCATTTACACACTCTCAATCCCTGTTCCCCGATGCCCTTAGCAATTAAAAATCCTCCAACAGCAGTTTGAAAACTTTTTAAATTTCCCTGAACCATCCCACCAGCCTCGAATTGTGTGAAATATTTCCCTCCCAATCAGCCCATCCTGAATTTGAAGAGAGTTCTCCCTTTTTATTAGGGATGTGCCTTTCCCACTCTGCATTGCCTGCACACCAAAAAGCTGGCTGGAGGCCAAGGTGAACACTTTGTTTATGAGAAGTTACAGACTCTTAACCAATGCGAGCAGGCTGCTTTACAGCTGCAGACTCTGGGGTTACTGTTTGCAGAGACAACCCTCCACATACCACCTCCCTCCATCTCCCAACCACTCGTCCCAATTTGGCCCTCCGCATCATTTCGCCTGATCTTCGAGAATTCTACTTCCCACCAGCCTTTGACGGCAATAACGTACATGGAGCTTTTGAAACGCAAAGATACAATGGTATCACAAAGCTAAATGTGATGCTAGTAAACTTAAACTGACATTGGGTCTGGTGACCAAAATGGTGGCTTTTAAGGAGAAAGAGAGGCAGAGGTGTGTGGGGAAGGTGGATTTTTTTTCCTGAAGATGGGTCCCGACCTGAAATATCAACTTTTCCTGTTCCTCTGATGCTGCCTGGCCTGCTGTGTTCCTCCAGCTCCACACTGTGTTATCTCAGACTCCAGCATCTGCAGGTCTTACTTATTTCCCCCCCACCCTGTAGAAGCCCTACAGTGTGAAAACAGGCCCTTCGGCCCAAAAGCCCACACTGACCCTCAGAGGATCCCACCCAGATCCATTCCCCAAACCCACACATCCCTGAGCACTATGGATAATTTAGCATGGCCAATCCACTTGACCTGCACATCTTTGGATTATGGGAAGAAACCAGAGCACCCGGAGGAAACCCACACAGACACAGGGAGAACGTGCAAACTCCACACAGATAGTCACCTGGGGGTGGAATTGAACCTAGGTCCCTGGTGCTGTGAGGCAGCAGTGCTAACCACTGAGCCACCATTGCCACCCTATCCTCTGACTAAATCCAGTATTGCCTGTTCCCTTGTGGACTGCACCACGAACTGCTCCAAAAAGCCATCTCTTAGACATTCCACAAACTCCTTTTCTTGCAATCCGCTACCAACATGACTTTCCTAGTCCACCTGCATATTGAAATTCCCCATGATCACTGTGACTTTGTCTTTCTTACACACCTTTTCTATCTCCTGGTGTATCTTCCTGACTACTGTTTGGAGGCCTGTACACAACCCTAACTATGGGTTTTTCACCTTTGCGGTTCCTCAATTCTACCCACACAGGTTCTACACCATCTGACCCTACTTCGTTTCTTCCTCTTGATTTAATTTCATTTCTCACTAATAAGGCAACCCCACCCCCTCAGCCCACCTGCTTATCTTTTCGATAGGATGTATATCCTTGGATATTCAGTTCCCAATCCTGATCCCCTTGCAGCCACATCTCCGTGATGCCTACCATGTCATACCTGCCAGTTTTGATCTGTGCTACAAGCTCATTTACCTTATTCCTTATACTGTGTGCATTCAGATAAAACACCTTCAGTCCTCTATTAACCCTTCCTCTTCTCATTTTCATTCATTTTTGCAGTGTTTGATTGCTAGCCTTTTCCAAACATTCTGTCCTATTTGTGTCTGTGTTGGAGATTTTAATAACCTCTCCTGAATTCTCCTTCCCTGTCATTTCTTTCATATTTTTCCACTTGGTTGAATCCACCACTACAGATGTTAACCTGCTGCTTTGTTTCCCATTGGGGCAAGTTTCACCATTCCCTTCCCCCCCCACTTTCTAGTTTAAAGTCCTGTTGATCAGCCTATTTACCCTTTCTGCTAGAACATTGGTCCCAGCTTGATTCTGGTGGAGACTGTCCCAACGATACAGATCCCTCCTGTTCCAATACTGATACCAGTGCCCCATGAAAAGGAACCCCTCTTTCCCACACCACTCTTTTAGCCATGTGTTTACTTCCCTTATTCTCGTGTCCCTATGCTAATGAGCACGTCGCTTGGGCAGTAATCTGGAGATTATAACCCTTGAGGACCTGTTTCTGGATGTGGTACCAATCAAGTGGGCTGCTTTGTATTGGGCATCCTGGTATGACTCCAACCAATGGAGCGTTTTCCTCCATTCCCATTGACTCTAGTTTTGCTGGGGCTCCCTGATGCCACATTCGGCCAAGTGGGGACTTGGTGTCAAGAGCAGTCAGCCTTACATCACCTCTTCTTAGTGACTTATAGACCAGTACTGTGATGAGGTCAGGGGTTAGGGGCCAACCGCAGAGACTGTTAGTGAGTTATTGCTGAGTAAGTGCTGCCTAATAGCTTTGTCAATGACACCTTTCATGACTTTACTAATGATTGAGAGGAGACTGATGGGGCGGTAATTGGCCGGGTTAAATTTGTCTGGCCATTTGTGAACAAGACATACTTGGGCAATTTTCCACATTGCTGGGTAGACGTCAGTGTTGTAACTGCAGTGGAACAGCTTCGTTGGCGGGGGGTGAGTCTGACTCTGGTGCTCAGTTCTTCAGTGCTATAGCCAGAATGTGGTCAGGTCCCATAACCTTTGCAGGATCTGGTGCAACATAACTTCTCCCTTGCCCATGGCCGCAGTCTCTTTGTCTGTCCTTTCTGCAGCCTTTGTTGTCAAAATAACAAGAACCTCATCCCTGTTGGAGAAGGGAACTGGCTTAAACCGCACCCCCCCTCCCCTGCCTGACCTGTCACATCATGTGAGTGAGTACCAACCAGCTCAGTATCACTTCCTGACCTGGGGGGTGTGGGGTCAGGGGAATGAATGCCTCTTGGATCCAAATGTCCAGATAACTCTCCCTCTCACTGACATCCCCAGCTCAGTCTCTGCTCTGCTGAGGATTTTTGAACTACAGGCACAATGCCTCATCCTCTGTCTAACCTCAAATATATTTTGTTAATTCGCTCAGAATCCAGAGGCCCGGATTAATGTTTGAGAGACGTGACCGTAGCAGGGCCAGACGTGGAATAAAATAGTCATGTCGTTAGTAACCATCATGAAACTGTCCAATTGTTGCAAAAGTCCATCTGCTACATTAATGTCCTTCAGGAAAGGACATTACTGTCCTTACCTGGTCTGTGCCTTCAGACCCATCGCAATGTGATCCTTTAACATTTGCGTCACAGGTAGACAGGGTGGTAAAGGAGGTGTTTAGCACACTTGCCTTCGTTGTTCATTGAGTATAGGAGTTGGGACGTCATACTAAGGTTGTGCAGGATGTTGGTAAGGCCATTTCTGGAGTATTGTTTAAAGTTCTGGTCGCCCAGTTATAGGAAGATATTATTAAACTGGAGCGGGTTCAGAGAAGAATTACCAGGATGTTGCTGGGAATGGAGGGCTCGAGTTATGAAGATAGGCTGGATGGGATGGGACCTTTTTTCACTGGAGTGTAAGAGGTTGAAGGGTGACCTTTACAAAGGTTGATGAAATCGTGATGGATTTAGGTAAGGTTCATGACAAGGGTCCTTCCCCTAGAGTGGGGGATTTTAAAACTCGGGGGCATAATTTTAAGGTGAGAGGGGAGAGATTTAAAGACATGAGGGGCAACTTTTTTACACCGAAGGTGGTTAGTGTGTAGCATGAATGCCAGACGTGGTGATGGATACAGTTACAACATTTAAAAGACATCTGGATAAGTACATGAATAGGGGGGATATGGGCTAAATGCAGGCAGTTTAGTTAGGGAACATGGTCGGTGTTCACCAAATGGTCTGTTTCCATGCTGTATGGTTCTGATCCTTACCACGCCTGTGAAATGGTGAGCAAGTCCCTGGATATATCACTGTGTTACTGACCCCTCTCTGTTGCACCTTCTGTTCATTTTACAACCAGTGCTGGCTTCCCAGTCACACTCCCGATCTAAGAAAGAATAAAACTGGAAATGGTTGTTAAGCCACAGTGGCTCAGTGGTTAGCACTGCTGCCTCATAGTGCCAGGGACCTGGGTTCGATTCCACCCTCGGGTGACTGTCTGTGTGGAGTTTGCACATTCTCCTTGTGTCTGGGTGCTCTGGTTTCCTCCCACAGTCCAAAGACATGCAAGCTAGGTGGATTAGCCATGCTAAGTTGCCTGTACTGTTCAGGCTAAAATGCAGGGTTACAGAGATAGGTTAGGAGGTTGGGTGTGAGTGGGATGCTCTTTGGAGCA